AGGGGCTCCAACCCCACATTTTCCATGAGCACTGTTCTAGTAGAGTCTCTCTGTAGGAGCTCTACCCTTGTGGCAGGCTTTTCCCTGGCAACCCAGGCTTTTCAACACATACATCCTCTGAAATCTAGGTGGAAGCTGTCAAGCCTCTTTCACTCTTGCATTCTGTTCTCCTGCAGACATAACACCATGGGGAAGCCACCAAGTCTTATAGCTTGTGTCCTCCAAGGCAGTGGCCTGAACTGTACCTGGGACACTTTTAGCCATGGGTGGAGCTAGACCAGCCAGGTGCAGGGAGCAGCGTCCAAAGGCTACAAAGAGCAGTAGGGCCCCCAGCTTGGACCCCAAAACCATTCTTACCCACTAGGCTTCTGGGTCTGGGATGGGAGGGGCCTAGATTCTGAAATGCCTTCAAGGGCTTTTTCCCATTGTCTTAGATAGGAGCACTTAGCTCCCTTTTAGTCATGCAAATCTCTCTAGCAAGAGGTGCCTCTGCATACTGCTCGATTTCTTCTCCGAAAATGCTCTTTCGTTTCCTACAATATGGTCAGGCTGCAAGTTTTCCAAACTCTTATGCTCTGCTTCTCTTTTAATTATAAATTCCAATTTTAAGTCTTTCCTTTTCTCCTACATCTGAGATAGGTTGTTAGAAGCAGGCATGCAACATCTTGTATACTTCGCTGCTTAGAAATATCCCTTTGGCCAGATACACTAATTTATCACCCTTAAGTTCAAACTTCCACAGATCTCTAGAGCATGGACCCAATGCAGCCAAGTTCTTTGCTAAGATATAACAAGGATGACTTGCCAGTAAATTCCTCATTTCCATCTGAGACCTCATCAGCCTGGCCTTCATTGTCCATATTTCTGTCAGCAATTTGGTCAAAACCACTTAACAAGTCTCCAATAAGTTTGAAACATTCCTGCATCTTCCTTTTTCTGAGATCTCCAAACTCTTCCAACCTCTGCCCATTACCCAGTTCCAAAGCTGCTTTCACATCTTCAGATATCTTTATAGCATCACCCAACTCCTGTACCAATTTTATATGTTAGTCAGTTTTGCATTGCTATAAAGGAATACCCGAGGCTAGGTAATTTATAAAGAAAAACGTTTATTTTGGGTCATGGTTCTTCAGGGTGTACAGGAGGCATGGCACCGGTATCTGCTTCTGGTAAGGGTTCAGGAAGCTTCCAGTCATGGCAGAAGGCAAACGGGTAATCAGCATATCACATGGCAAGAGAGAGAACAAGGAGCTGCCAGGCTTTTTTAAGCAACCAGATCTCATGTGAACTTAGAGAGTGAGAATGTAAGGTTAGCCAAGAGAAAGGACAAGAGAGACAGAGAGCCCCAAGTTCAGGCAAGCCTTTATTAACCTGCCAGCTGCCCCCATAACAGTCAAGGAAAGCAGCTCCAAGCTTACAGAATGAGGGAGTTACATTGGGGCAGGGAGTTTGAGGGAGTCCTTTGGTATGGCTGCATCCCGGGGTTGTTTGCTGGTTAATTCTGCCACATAATCACCTTGTGATGTTTATGGTACTGGAGGGTGCAGGTAAAGTTTGTTTATGCTTCCCACAACCTCCCCCTGTTCAGTCTGGATGGTTTGTAATTGGGGTTTGCTTTATCGCTCAAGGCCTGATAGGTAGTCTAACAGGCTGGCTTCACTGCGGTGCCTAGATAAGGACTTAGAAATGTAAAAAGGTTTGGGGAAAGGGTAGGCAGCACAGAGAGGTTTGGGGGGAGTGTTGGCAGTACCAAGAAGCTTTTTGCGGTGGTTTGTACCTAACAAAGAACTCACTCATTACCACAAGGACAGCACCAAACCATTTATGAGAGATTCACCTCTATGACCCAAACCCCTCCCACTAAACCCACCTCCAACACTGAAGGTCACATTTCAACATGAGATTTGGAGGGACAAAACAGCCAAACCATATCAATGACTAATATGCCCTTTGTTTTCTGTTTTTGCTTTCTTCAGCCATTTTCTGCTTAAAAAGTCAAGTTCTGCTCAGATCATTGGAACACTCACTGTACTTGAGTAAGGTTGTAAGTCTGACAGTCTGACCATGTGGGCCTATTCTGGCCCTGTTGCTTCCTCACTGCGGAACCTGCACCATGGCTCAACCCCTCTATGGCCTAGCTTGGCTCATTGGAGAAATGTGCTCATTCCTAATACCCACTCAATAGATGGGTGTGCACAGTAAATGACACAGATTAGCAGAGCACTTAGCACAACTCATTGACTATGAGTTGTCCAGATCATTGGCGTTTTGAACAAAGAATTGAACAAAATGCACAAAGTAGCAGGGGAATGAAATGTAGCAACAAAGCAGTGAAAGCAGGAATTCATTAAAGTGAGAAAGCCCTCTGCAGGGTGGGAGTAGGTTTGAGCAAGTGGCTCAAGGGCCCAGTTACAAAGTTTTCTGGGCTTTAAGTACCCCATTTGAGGTTCTTAATGACTATTCCTTATCTGAAGGATTTGGCCTGTGGCTAATTAAAGGCTGAAGTGAACTGGCACCCTATGCAGATGAAGGGATGGTCCCTGCTTGGCCCACGGTCAACAAGGCACTCTACCCTCCCTTTCCATCTGAGATGTGGTGGAAGAGGGATGGTTGTAGGGAGAGTAGCCTCTGATCCTTTGTTACTCAGCATGGTTTTTATCTTTTGGTTTAGCTTTAGGAAGTTTGTGTTAATTGGCCTTAGGTTTCCTGCCCCCAGACTCAGGTATTTTCCTTTTGATCCAGCTTTGGGAAGTCAGAGTGAATTGGCCTTAGATTTCCTACCCCCAGACCCTAGTGTTTTCTCTTTTAGGAAGTCAGCACAGATTGGCCTTAAGTTCCCTGTTTCTAGACCCTATTTTTCTGTCTCAATAGGAGCTCACAATAATTGCCCTGTTATCACTGTTCTAATGTAGAACCATGTCCAAGGATGCTAAACTCCACTGAGCTGGTGACATAGAACTTTCTTCATCCAACTTGTATTGAGGGCTACATTTGCACTGCGGTCTTGGCCATCCTCATGGGCCTCTTAGTCCAGAGGGGAGACAGCCCATCAACATGCCCAACCTCACAGGAGTTCAGGATCCACCCAACCAATGGTGGAGAGCTGTGCTGGGCCAGCCCCTGGGAATAAGCTTTGCCAGCTGACCTCATGGAGTGACCTGGACCCTGACAAGCTGAGTGACTTCTGGGTTGAAAAGGGCGTTCCCATAGGGGAAGAAGCACAAGCACCCTCATCAGCAAGGAAGTTCAGTGTGCTCAGAAAACAGCACCAGACGGAACCAGAGGTTGAGAGTTGTCTTACCCAGGACCTAGCATCAAGCAAATGCTGAGTGAAGGAGGGTTAAGGGTGGGTGGCATGGTGGATGCCTGAGTGTGTGAGAAAGAGGAGCCCAGTGGCTAACGAGGCTGGGAAAGGAAGGCCTTGGAGGTGTGAGGAGGTGGTGCCTAAGCAACTGACAAGATCCGAGCCACAGTTTAGAAAGACTCCTCTGGAGTGGGATGAACCAACTGCAGGGACAGATCAGTCCGGGAGAGATCAGCAAGGAAGAAGATCCTGAGAGGCCAGGGGGAGGATGAGGAGAGCCTGGGGGATCATGTGACAGGCAAGGCCTACACAGCGAGTCTTGGCCTGTGGCTGGCTTCATGCCTTGGGGCCCCACTGTCAAGAGCTCAGCACTGTTCTTGATTGCTGCACAGCTACAAAGCTGCAGTGAGTCAGCACTGAGACCGCCTTCCACAGGGCCACTGGTCTTCATACCATAGTCAGTTGTGCTCTGCTTGGGTCGCCTGACCATGATGTTTTCATTCATAAAGCAGCAAACAGAGGGTCCATTGGAGCATGGAAGAGAAGACCAACCATTTTCCTCAAAGGGGCTTGCAGGTGGCAGGTGTCTCATAAAGAATGTCCGAATGGTTGCTGAAGGTTGCAGAGCTGATCTTTGGGGACTGAGCAGGCTTAGCTGGAGGAGGCTGGTTTTCCCACTATGCCTCTTCTTGTCTAGACTTAAGTCAGTGCCCTCAATATTCCCTCCAGGGGACAAGAGGAGCTTGATGTCTTAGACTCGTAATCCCAGTGGACATTCTGTGACTTAAAACAAAGGAGAATGGTAGCTAATGGTCCTATAGAAGCCACATGACATAGTGTGACTAAATCAAATCAATACCAGCTCTTGGCTGAATGCCACTGTGTAGTTTCCCTAGCCATTTTCTTCATGATCGTTCCCCTCCCACCCAATGGCTAAAAGCCTTTATATAAGTAATCAGCAGAGTTCATAAGTTCGCAAAAGCCACAACACAATGTCATTCTCAGTCTTAAGAATTCCCCTATGAAAAAGCACTTAGGTATGTAAGTGAAAGATGCCAGCTGTGTAACTGAATACTCAAGGATCCTCATTCAGTGATGTCACCAAAGGCCTCTATTTTAATATTTAGCCTCAGAGTGCATGTGCCTACAGGTTACACTGAGTCCTTGAACAAAACCTTTGTAAACCTGTTTAAAAAGCTTGATGACCATGAACCAAGCCTGCATCCAGGCATGGGGGGCACCATGAAGGATTAGAGAGCCCTGACATTGAAAAGCACCTTGGAAGAGCCTCTTCCAACCCTCTTCGCACTCAGGGCCGATCCTGAGTGGGCAAAGGGTGCTACTCAGTGGGACAAGGACCCAGGGTCCTTTCAGCCTGGGGCCTTTCCACTGTACCACTCTGTCTCCCTATACAGAGTGAATATTAAGAACAAAGTTGTCTTTAATGGCTAGAGAAAATGTATTACCAGAAAGACTGTTGTATCCTCTCATCTGGGGTTGAAGATGACTTTCATTTGGGTTTTCTCCCTCCTCCTGCCCACCCCAACACACACTCATACGCTCATCTGTTTTCAAATACACAATGATGGCACTTTTGTGCTGGATTACTTTAATCAGGTCTAACTAGACAAGCAGGAACTTTTCTTAGGCTAGTTTGTGTAAAGCAGGCCTCAGAAATGAACATGTCTTGAGCAATGAAAACAGTATTTATGGGAAAAAACAGAAACTAAAGGTAATCTCCTGCTGTGATCTGCAAGAGGGTGAGATGCAAGGGCAAGCAGAGCTCCACAGGGGACTCCAAAGCACAGCTGAGGATGTGGCCATCCAACCACAAATGGTGCTCTGGGTAACACAGTGGTAGAGGAGTGAGGGGAATGCTCCCACCACGCTCAGGCACAGCACCTCTGGGGACAACTCGACCAAATGGAATAAGGAACACTTTATCTGGGCCCACTAGAGCAGATCCAACCAATCATTAGGAGTACTTGGAAGAGACCAAAGCAGGAAGGAGATGGGGGAGACTGGAAAAGAGGGGTGCTACCACACAGATCAGGTCAAACAGCCTACTAGGGACCACCATCTCCTAGAAGGAAGTCACCTGTGAGGAGTCCATCTGACTCAGGCAGTCTTGGTGAAACCCAAGCTAGGGCTAACGAGGGGCTGGCTCTTGAGTAAACCAGAGGCCAGCAAATGGCCTCCCCTGTCTTCATGGTTGGCAGTGGCCATAAACCCATGGTTTCTCAGCTTATCTGAGGCCCGGCCCTATGACACAATGTGACTTTCAGAAGATGGGAGACTTTTCTGGGAACTTGAACCACGCCTGTTTATACTTTTAGAAAAGGGAGAAGCTGAAGGCAATGCCACCTGTCTACTCCCCCAACACCTGGCCAGCGTCCCCTCTCCAGATTGGCTGAGAGCCACCTTTGTGACATCGTGTGACAAATACAGCAGATGGTGAGTTAAGTCACTGGTTGCCCTGATACCGAGACTCTAGAATTTTGTGGACAGTATTTATTGGGCATGCGTACTCTGACTGAAGGCATTTTGGACTTGCTAGGACAGTGATAAGGGTCTCGGGTACAAAATGCTCCTGATTCTGGTGTAGCTCCATGGCGAGTCAGAACACCGAACAGGAATATGAAGACAAGCTGGCCCCGTCTGTTGGTGGAGAGCCAACAAGCGGGGACCCATTTAGTTCTTCACCTGATCCAAATCCAGATTCCAGCAAGGTTTTGGACAGACACGAGGACCACGCCGTGAGCCAAGATCCAGGCTCCCAAGTTAACTCACCACCAGAAGACCGAAACCAATGCGTGGTCAACACGGAAGACAACCAGAACCTTTTTAGGCTCTCCTTCCCAAGAAAGCTTTGGATGATCGTGGAGGAAGAAACATTCAAGTCTGTGAGCTGGAACGATGATGGAGACGCCGTGATCATCGAGAAGGATCTCTTCCAGAGGGAAGTTCTTCAACGGAGAGGTGCAGAGAGGATCTTCGAAACAGACAGCTTGAAGAGTTTCATTCGCCAACTGAACCTCTATGGATTCTGCAAAACACGCCCAAGCAACTCTCCAGGAAACAAGAAAATGATGGTAAAGTAGAAAGCATTTCTGTAATTTCTGTGATCCCTTTTCTCTCCTTCTCAAACATATCTTCATAGGACACCAATATAAATAATACACTGTAAGAGCTTAAGTGTCAAAGATAGCATTTTAAAATGTAAAATATTGTTCATTGAAAGATGAAAAGTACAGAACTTAAAAAGTATGGATTTTGATATTAAACTACAACCCCCTTAGAGATAATATAAGCATCATATTACGCGGACCTACATATTACCTCTAAGGGGGTTGCAGTTTAATGTCAAAATCCATGCTATTTATATATTACTGCCTTGACCTATGAATTGTTTATCTCCAGTCAGGTCATGAGGTAGGGCATAACCACACTTGCTGCCACTTAAAGCATTCTTTTCTCCATTGCAGAACGAAATCGTAATTTTGAGAGGTGGGAAAGGAATAATTTATTCCGGAACAACTAACATGTTTCAATTTGTTTCAGATCTACCACAACTCCAATTTTCAGAGAGACAAGCCCAGGCTCCTGGAGAATATCCAGAAAAAAGATGACCTCAGAAACACGGCTCAGCAAGCAACCTGTGTCCCAACTCCAAAGAGAAAGAAGCTGGTAGCTACAAGACGCTCCCTACGTATCTATCACATCAATGCCAAGAAAGAAGCCATCAAAATGTGTCAGCGGGGAGCCCCCAGTGTTCAGGGACCCAGTGGCACTCAGTCCTTCATGTTCTCTGGCATGTGGTCCAAGAACAGTATCACTGGGCATCCCCTGGGAAATAGGCCCCCTCAGGAACCAAATGGCCCAAGTTGGGAGGGCACCTCTGGGAATGTCACATTTGCATCTTCGGCTACTGCCTGGATGGAAGGCATAGGGCAAGTGCCTAGTAGCCCGGTTTACTCAGATAATGGTAGTGTATTGTCTTTGTACAATATCTGTTACTCCATTCTGTTGGCCACCCTCTCAGTCATGTCTCCAAATGAACCCTCTGACAATGACGAGGAGCAGGAAGGCTCCTCAGATTATAAGTGTAAACTCTGTGAACAGTTCAGAAACAATGCAAGTCCGTGAACTCACAGGCCACTAATGACCGATAAAAGTTGCCATTTGCAAATGAGAAACACATTTTTGGTCTTAATAAAGAAAAACAAAATTCCATGGAAATAAATAATAAACAATTTAAATGAGACCTGTTGTCTGTGTTCTTTTTAACCTTCTATATTATACACATCTCATTGGCACAAGCCAGGGGAGGCTGGAAATCCTGTCCAAGACAGGCTTTGGTCCCCATTGTCCTCGTTTATTTGGAGAAGCAGCATTTTTGCACACTCAGCAAAGGATATTGCTAGAAGTGTCGAGACCAAGCCCAGGAAGACCTGGTCCCCTGAGATTGGCCTGCTAGTCAGGAGAAAGAACAGACTCACGCCTGATTCTGGCAGTATCTTCCTGTATCTTCAAACAGGAGATTGTTTCCTCATGGGTCCCTCCCAGTGTTGCCAGGAAGTGTCTGATCAGCAGCTCAGCACCCCTAGCCTAGCATCCAGGGGCCTCCAAAGAGGTCCACTTGAAAGTCAGGCCACCCCATCTGCCATGGGATGTACGACCACCATGACATCCTGGCTCAGAAGAGAAGAGCCACTGCAGTCAATACCTGGGGGGAAATGCCCATCATCCTCAAAGATAACAACTAGAAACTTTGCTAAATCACCAAAAAAAAAAAAAAAAAAAAAAAAAAAATTACTACAAAATAAAACAACACTACTGATCACATTTCCAAGTTAACCTCACTCTACCAGAGCTGTATTTTGGATGTATTGCTAGGATAGGAAGTAGCTATGTGATGCAGGTGACACACATGCTTCAGAAACCGACAGACACTTTCACAACAGAGTGAGAGTAACCTCTGATGGCCAGTGATGATGAGCATTTTTTCATGTGTCTGTTGGCTGTATGAATGTCTTCTTTTGAGAAATGTCTGTTCATATCCTTTGCCCACTTTTTGATGGGGTTGTTTTTTTCTTGTAAATTTGTTTGAGTTCTTTGTAGGTTCTGGATATTAGCCCTTTGTCAGATGAGTAGATTGCAAAAATTTTCTCCCATTCTGTAGGTTGCCTGTTCACTCTGATGGTAGTTTCTTTTGCTGTGCAGAAGCTCTTTAGTTTAATGAGATCCCATTTGTCAATTTTGGCTTTTGCTGCTGTTGCTTTTGGTGTTTTAGACATGAAGTCTTTGCCCATGCCTATGTCCTGAATGGTACTACCTAGGTTTTCCTCTAGGATTTTTATGGTATTAGGTCTAACATTTAAGTCTCTAATCCATCTTGAATTAATTTTCGTATAAGGAGTAAGGAAAGGATCCAGTTTCAGCTTTCTACTTATGGCTAGCCAATTTTCCCAGCACCATTTATTAAATAGGGAATCCTTTCCCCATTTCTTGTTTCTCTCAGGTTTGTCAAAGATCAGATGGCTGTAGATGTGTGGTATTATTTCTGAGGACTCTGTTCTGTTCCATTGGTCTATATCTCTGTTTTGGTACCAGTACCATGCTGTTTTGGTTACTGTAGCCTTGTAGTATAGTATGAAGTCAGGTAGTGTGATGCCTCCAGCTTTGTTCTTTTGACTTAGGATTGCCTGGGAGATGCGGGCTCTTTTTTGGTTCCATATGAACTTTAAAGCAGTTTTTTCCAATTCTGTGAAGAAACTCATTGGTAGCTTGATGGGGATGGCATTGAATCTATAAATTACCTTGGGCAGTATGGCCATTTTCACGATATTGATTCTTCCTATCCATGAGCATGGTATGTTCTTCCATTTGTTTGTGTCCTCTTTTATTTCACTGAGCAGTGGTTTGTAGTTCTCCTTGAAGAGGTCCTTTACATCCCTTGTAAGTTGGATTCCTAGGTATTTTATTCTCTTTGAAGACACCAACATGGCACAAGTATACATATGTAACAAACCTGCACGTTATGCACATGTACCCTACAACTTAAAGTATAATAATAATAAATAAATTAAAAAAAAAAAAAAAAAAAGAGAGTAACCTGAAAGGACAGACAGCTGCTCTAAGCCTGATGTCCTCTTCATCCTGGATGAGTTGGTTGATTAACGGCTGCTCACTACCAGGCAAACATTCAGTGCCAGGTCTCAGACTTTCTGCAATGTCTCCTGGATGCTAGTTATACATTTGATGAGTTTTGACCAGAACAAATCAGGGGAAAACATAGAACGAAGTCTCAAACACTAACCAGTCATCTACAACACATTTATTTACACAATCCAGAAACTAGCAGGACCAAAATTAGCAACAGTGCCGAGACATTTACTGGCAGCTTTTCCTTCTACCCAAAGGTCAAAGTACTTGAGACATTGCCTGTGTGTCTAAGAAGGCATCACACCAGGAAAGCCCCTCCCCCTACTTCCTTCATCTGAGAAAAGAAACCTGTTTACATGCACAGTGCTTAGTGGGTGGGACTCTCCAAAGCAGTGGAAATTCAGATTTAACCTAATGTATATAGGTCTGCGTCATGATGGTGAATTGAAGGTGTCATGATTTAGCTGGTTTCTCTGGAACATTCCTCTCAGGAGCCCACACTTGTCACACTTCATGCCCCGAAGGGATCAGGTGCTCTGGGATGTCTACCTGGAATACATCTTTGCCTCCTTTCCTAGGTATGGGCTCCAGTAACCACCTGGGGTTTGAAATCACAGTCAGGTACTTCTGCTTCAGGTTGGTCAGTACAGCTTGATTCTCTAGTTCCACAACCTCATTGGGAGTTAAGTCTTCGGGGCATTGCAAAGTTTCCCCAATGTCAATGAGTCCTGTACACAAAGAGAGATACATATGAATGCCTTTCACTTCCATAGCCCAAGGCCTGCCCATGTGACAACACGGTTACTCAAAGTCACAATCAGAGAGTAAGGTGGCATCAGCAAAATGACAAGAAGGGAGTCAAGTCCTTCTTCCACTGCTTTGATAACGAGCCAAACCCGATTCAGGAAATGCTGGGAGAGGCGGGGGAGGGCTCCAGAAAGGCAGAGGAGAGGGCCTTGTCCTCGATGAAGCCACACAAGTAAGAGGCAGGTCCAAGCCAGACTTCTGAGGGCAGCGGTTGCAGATTGGAAGGGCACCAGCCACTGCCTGGGAAGCTACAGGTGATGCCTGAGCAGGTCACCAGGGGACAGATGCTATTGTCAGGCCTCAGTCACCTAGAGGTTAGGGGACTTGCCCAGGGTGCCGTGAGTGGTGGGGCTGGGCCAGGCTTGTGAAGTCAGGCAGGCAGCCCAACTCTAGAGGCCACCTGACCCATTCGGCGGGCTGGGCTGCTTTTCATGGTCTCTGCCACACATGTGCACTCACACATGTATGCACACACACACATACACACACAGCCAAACACCACAAGCACCACGTGTACATGGACCTGATCTGGTTTCTCACTGAGATCAGAAACAGGAACTGAGGCTCAGAGTGGAGAAATGATTTACCAGAGCTCACAGAAACTAGGCCTGCCAACCCCCAGCCCAGGGCCCTTGCCGTCTCTTTGAAGGTGTGCTGCCAAAGGAAACTGTGGTATACATGCCAATCAGTTCAGACGACAACAAAAGTCCCCAAACTCCCAAGCAAGATCTTGGGTGGCAACTCTAGGCGTTGTCTACACATTTGGCACATCGTCACTTACCCGCTATCACTCCTCGACCAAACTTCTCCCCTTTCCTGAGCAAAGCCTGAATCTCAGCAGGAGTCATCCCCAGCCTCTCCACCAGCAGCTCCTGCCAGGCATCGTCATCCCAGTCCCTGTGAGCAATGTGGACGGCGATGGTACGGTTCCGCTGGCTGCTCAGCAGGGGATGCCAACAAGTCTCCACAGTCTTGACTCCATCTTCGCAAGTGCCCCGGGCCTCCTGTGGCCTGCAGAAGCACAGAAGCGCATCACATGCCAGCCCTCCAAGCTCACGGGCAGTGGCCTGACCATACCCCTGTGTCTCTCAGGTGGCCTAAATCCCACTGACCCTGATGGTCCGCTGCTTCCGTCTGTCACTGATGTACCGCGCCACGGCAGGCCCAAGGGAAGGGGCTGGGATTCGGCTGACTCAGGTTCATCCCACAGAGTCTTTGGGGCGGTCTGGAGTAGGGCGGAGACAGCTAGAAAAAGGCACAGGCAGGATAGCTTTCTCTCTTTATTCCCCACCCCCCCACCCACTCCACTGACTGACCTATCCCCACAAGCACCCATGGCCGGCCTCATGCCAGTCCTGTCTTCATCTTATTCCATGCTCGGCAGCCCCAGCAGGGCTGAGCACACTCCTTCCCTCCTTCCGGGACCCCCACATTGCTCACCAGCCTGCTCTGAATCCCGTGGTGCAGGGCCACGCCCCTTCAGACTCAGCCTTAGGTGGACAGGCCTGTACATACTCAGGACCCCAACCACCACCACCAAGTCCACCTCCCTTCCACTGTGAGTGGCATCACCAGCTACGCAGTGTTCCTGCCCCAGACCTAGCTGCTCTCTGCCCTCCCTCTCTGCGGCCCACATCCCGTGGCACTGTGTCCAAAACCGACACTGAATCTGATCTCTTTCCATAATCTCTATGGCCACAATTCCAATCCAATCCCCTAAAACCCCCTGCCTTCTGAAGAAGTCTCCTGATAGCACCCCCACCCCCGTCTCAGCCCTTGTCCTCTGCACTCTTGTGACCACACTGCCATCAGAATGATCTTGGTACAGGGACAATGAGATTATGTCACTCCTCTACTGAAAGCTTTCAAGGGCTCCCTGCCCCAACTAGAACAGAATCCACACTTCCTCTCAGGGCACTCAAGGTCCCTCCTGATCTGTCTTCCCACCCCAGCCATGTCCTCTCCTCTCCCCTTTATTCACCACCCTGCAGCCACAGGGGCCTTCCATCCCCTGAGGGAACATGCCAAGCTTGTTTCTACCTCAGGTCCTTTGTCAGTTCTGATGGGTTGCATTGTGTCCTCTTAAAACGCGTATGTTGAAGTCCTAAACCCCAGCACCTCAAAATGTGGCCTTATATATAAAGACAGAGTCATTACAGAGGCAATCAAGTGAGACTGAAGCCATTAGGGTGGACCCATATCCAATGTGGATGGCGTCCTTATGAAAAGGGGGATTTCAGAGACAGTCATGCACACAGGGAGAACACCATGAGAAGATGAAGGCAGAGATAAGGGAGATGCTTCTACAAGCCAATGAGTGCCAAAGATTGCCGGCTAGCCGCCTGCAGCTAAGAAATAGGGACAGACCAGATTGTCTTTCACAGCCCACAGAACAAACAAACCTGGCCAACACTTTGATTTCAGACTTCCATCCTCTAGAACAATGATTGTCTGTTGTTTAAGCCAGCCCCTTTATGGTCCTTTGCTTCAACCATCTTGGCAAACTGCTGTTCCCAACACATCTCCACAGGATAGGGCATGAGTTTTCCATTTGACAGCACATCAAGTCCATTCTTTCCACCTGACAATCTTCATCTACCTTGTTTTTCACTGCCTGTGTGATACCCCATTGTTGGCCGTCTCATAATTTGCCTGACCACTCCTCCACTGACAGAGAGTTACAAGCTGCTCCCCACTTTTGCCACTAGAAATGACATTACCTCTAACACTTGCTGTGTGAAGACATGCTGAAGGGAATGCCTCGGCCGCCTGGCATGCCCATCTAAGATGCTGATCTCTGCCAGCAAATGACTTTCCACAAACACTCACCTGTGTACCCTCCACCAACCCATCCATGGTGCCATTTCCTCACACACTTGCGGCCCCTGAGCCTCATTATTCTCCTGATGGGTGACCAAACATCACCAGGTTCCTTGGTTCTGGATTACTTCTGACGGAGACTGAATGTCTCCCACAGGGCCAGGCCACTTCCATCGGGATACATGGCTACAGTGAATGTTTGCCTCTTTTCCGCCGCTCAGTTTTTTAGCCAACCCTTTTCTCATCATCACCACAAAATCACAACAAACGCGAACTGTGTGTGGAATCCCTAGTAGGAACTGATGTAACTGAAAAGGCAAGAAGGGGATTGACTCCCCTCCTACCCGGTGCTGCAGAGAGTACCTGCTTTGCACCCTACCTGCACAACAAGGAAGATAAAGAGGAAAGGTCATTAAGTGCAAGACAGCAAAGCTGGTTCATGGCCCGAAGAAGGTCATCTACTTAGCAGGCATTGGAAACCAAGAAGAGCTGGGAGGGCCGGTCTTATCAGTAACACACATGTGCACCTCACAGTTTGGTTCGGCTAATCACAGCAGTGGGATCCTCAGCACCTGTCTGGGTCAAGGACACAGGGTGCACCAGCCCGCAGGGCAGAAAATCATTTCACCACGTTGAACAGCATTCCTGCAGCTGAGCACGCTCCATTCGAAGGGAGAAAAATGACACTTCCCGTCCCATTGTCGAGGGGCGAGGGTTTGGGGCTCTAAATCCCATTGTCCTCAGCTTAATTCTGGGTAAGTCACGCTGAGCACGGCGCCACAGGCCACAGAGCTGTGCACCGCCGGGCCTCGGGTCCAGGCGAGCTCACAGCAGAGGGGCCAATGGGAGGCAGGGAAGACCAGGCTGAGGTGGGGCCGCTGTGTGTGGAGCAGCACACCGGCTTTCTACTCGCAGACGGACGTCGCGGGTACACGCGCTTAGAAGGAGCGGAGCCAAGACCCTGGCAAGAGCAGGGGGCAGGAAAAGGAGCCTTGGTCGCGCCCCGCACGGGTTCCCAGCCCCACATCCAGGGAAGCCCTAGCCCTCAGGTACCGTCCGCAAGAAGGCTGCGCACATAGGCTCCTGCATCATGGGCCCTGGCACCTGTCAGCCCCGGCAGGTCTCACGGCCTCCGGAACCACGGACCCTGCGAGTCGTGGGTGCCCAGGGCCGACTCCGGCTTTTCGCCACAGGGAAGAACAGTACTCCGCCTCCCCGAGACCCAGCGAGGCCACCGGAGCCAGGACAATGGGCTCCCAAACGAGGAGACGTGGGCCGCGGTGAGAAGAGGGAGCGCCTGGCTAGTGTCGAGGCTGCAAGGTCGCTGCCGCTAACTCCGGGAAACCGGTGGCCAGTGACAAGCGCTAGCGGTCCAGAACTCTACCGCTTTAATGCAGCTCCCGTCATCCCTTTCATGAAGAACGCACGTGGGCACGTAATCACGCATGTACGCACAACACGCAGGAGGCACGTAGTCAGCCATGCATATAGACAGCCAAGTCATTATGAATCTCGCATTCTCGAAGACACGCACTGACGACATCACGCACGTACGCACGCCCTGGCTGCTAGGAGACGCTATTCCCTTTACCAGGCCCTCATGCGGGCCAGCCAGCCAGGCAAAGGCCAGGGGAGCTCGAGACTGGCAACCTGGGCGAAGAACCGGAAGGAGGAAAAGGAAACGGAGGGAGAAAGAGTAAGGGGAAGGGCGGGACGAGGCCACCAGGCAGGAGTTTTGGGTCCAGAGCTGCTATACCAGCAGGGAGGAGCTGGGAGAAACCGCTGGGGAGTGGGTGGAGGCGGGGTTGAGAGGAGGAGGGTGGAGCTGGGGGAGGGGCAGGGCGGGACTGAGAGAAACGATTGGGGGCGGTGTTAAGGGCGGGGCTAGGATAAGGGGTGGGGGTTGGGGCAGGGCCGGGCGGAGCTGAGAGAAACCACTGCGGGCAGGGCCGTGGGAGAGCTGAGCAAGGAGAGGCTGCAGAAGGAGCTCGCGGACTCCCGAGAACCAGCAGGGGGAGGCAGGAGTCCGCTGAGAGTAGGAGGGCGGGGGAGAAAGAAACCGCTGGGAGGGGCTGGAGGCGGGGCTTTGAAAGCAGCTGCGCGAGAAGCAGGGCGGGGCTGGGAGAAGCAGGGCGGGGCTGGGGTCCAGAGGGACCGTCTTTTTAACGCCTCTTTTGCAGGTGATGAGAAACGTCCACACTCCTAATGTCTTGCCTCCTCTAAGTCGCCGGACACACAGCCCAACTTCCCTGGCAAACTTGCTTTTCAAACTCTCTTCTCCATCTCAGTCAGGGGCTCAGGTTCTGTAGTGCTGCCATGCTTTACTCCTCTGTCCCTCCCCTTATCTAGTCTCCCGCATTGACTTTATAAGCAAGTTTTGAGTCCCTGCCTCTGGAGTGCCTGATGAGACAAAACTGCTCCTCGTCCTGCATCCCCGCTGCTACTTCCAGAACTCAGGGCTCGTGGTCTGGAGCCTGCACTGTTCCATGAGCCTCCTGACCAACCTGGAAGCCTCTGTCTTTCCTCCCTCAGGTCTGTCCTCCACATTCCATTGGCTCAGTTTCTAAGTCACAGATCTGTCCCCAACAATCCTCTAGTGAAAACGCGGCCGGGCCTTCTCAGGTTTAAGTCCTAACAGTTCAGGGAGTCGGCTCAGCTCTCCCCACCCTTAAGCCGAACACTGGGTTCACGCTGTGCTGTTTAGTCACTGGTCCCCACCAGCCTGCTGTTCCAGGTCTCCTTGCTTTGCACCGTTAGTTCCCATGGCCTTGTCCTGGTGCACTCCTGGCCTCCTTCAAGGCACAACTTTAATGTCACCTTCACAGCCCCACCCCAAGTATTACGGACTTTTGTCTCCAGCTCTGATAGCATTTTCTACATCCCCCATTCCCACCCCACATTAGGCTCTTGCAACTCCAGGTGGTAATTGCTCTGTAAGAGTCTGGCTGCCGCAGGGTCTCTTGAGTTCCTTGAAGGAACCGCTGGTGTTTTACTCATTTCTGAAACTGGGTGCCCAGGGCACAGTATCTACTTAGTAAGTGTTTAATCAGCAAAGGGCTGCCTTCTTGTTTTTTCTAGTGAGATGCACCTACTTCTCCCTGGAGAAGCTCGAGGAAGCAGGAATACTGAAGATGAGGTGAGGAGGAGAGGGTCCCTCTTTATGGGATGTAGGCCGTAGGGCTGCAGGGGACCTTCAGATCACCAGTTGCAATTCCTATGCATGCTAGCATCCCCTCCTGGGTTCCTTCCCCCCAAGAATGGTTGCCAGCTTCTGCCAAACACCCCAGAACCTGCTGGGAGTGGTTTCAAATCATGAGTGAGGATCCCCGGGATGGTGGGTGGCTGTTGCTCCGCCTGTAGCGTCTTGTATGAAGGACTAGAACTTGCATAATGAGCTGGATAGTCACCGTGTGGCTGCTAGCGGGGAAGCCCATGGTGGCTACATAAGAGCTCCCTTTTCCAACTCTCCCAGCTGCCCCTCACTCTCACTCCTGGGTGTGCTGGGCAGTGGGGTGCAATGCGCACGTGGGTGCACACTGTCCCTGAGACCTCCCACAGAGGTCTCATCTGTGGTCGGATGAGGAGAGGAAGTCCCAGTAAAGCAGCTGCAGCGGTGAGTGGGCCTAGGAAGAATGGCATCACCAGGCCAGGTAGGGATGCGGGTGGTGTTCAGCTATCCCTGAGAAAGGGACCAGAATGCACCTGAGTCTTCATTTTCATTCCCAATAGCAGGTCAGCACCAGACCCGAAAACGCTCTGATTTCTGCCCTCCACGCCATACTCTCTTCACCTGCTGCCTCCTCATTCCTCCCATTAACAATGTCCTGGCAGGAACAAGACTTTCCCCTCCCTCTCTGCTTGTCTCTTAGCAGGTCAGGTCGGCCTTCACCTCCCCAGGCCCGTCCTGCTCCTGCCTTCCCCTGTGGGGCCCTCCGTGGATGCTCTGGAGCCCCAGGCAATAGCCAACTGCGGGCATGCGGGGCCTTCTCGGGTTCTTTGCTGTGCTCCCATGAAACCGCTCTGCTTGGCTGCACCCCACTAGCACACACTCAACTGACCCCAACTCCTGGGGCTGGGGGTGTGTCTCCTCAAAGTCTGCTTTCTTTTTCAGGCTTTGCTTGCATGCCCATTGTGCTACACGTTGTGTCTCTTTTAGGAAGTCCTTGTCTTTTCCAAAGATCCTGCTTTGCAGCTGACCATACCCGCTGCCCGTCTCCGCCAGGATAATGCCTCCTTCCTGAAACCACAGCCCCACTCAGGTCTTCCTTCCATCCTAATCCCTGGGGAGCCCCCTGCAGAGCTCCCTGTCCATCCCAGTGGCCTTCTGAGCCTTGCCTCCCTCCCTTCCCCTCCCTTCCCTTTCCTTCCCTTCCCTTCCTTCCCTTCCATTCCCCTCCCCTCCCCTCCCCTCCCTCCCCTCCCCTCCCTCCCCTCCCTCCCCCTTACCTCTCCCTCGCCTCTCCCTCACCTCTCCCTCCATGGCAGGCTAGCCTCCCTGGCTAGAGCTGTCCCCTGGGAATTTGCCATCACTTTCCCTCTCTGTGCTCAGCATCCCTGGTTGAGAGGTTTAGGAGGAAGAGGAGAGGACGAGAGGAGGAGAAGAGTCCCTCTCTTCCGCCCACATGCTCCCCTAGGGAAGCATTGTTTTTGCTCAGCGTGATTTCTGTGCGACTCCTCCTGTTTTCTGAGCCTGTCACCCCCTTCCTCTTCCCTTGGCTCCCCACTGAGACTTTCCAGAGTGCAGCCACCTCCCCTCGCTGTGCTTCTTTGACTCTGAGGCCCAGGAGGAAGTTGCCCTCCTCTGGAGAGGCTTCGCGTTTGATCCAGCCTAGTGTTCTGGGACCGCTTTGACCCTAATTCATGATTTCCCTTCAGATGCTTCTTGTTTGGCCTGCCTTCCTCGTCTAGGAAATGGATTTTGCTCATTTTTCTATTGAGTCACTTGCCTTGTTGGTATGGAGTTATAGGAGCTCTTTCTGAATTCTGCCTCAAACCCCATGTTGGTTTTTTGTATTTCAGAGACCACATCTGCTCAGGGGTTTATTCTTCCATCTGTTTGCAGGGCTGTTTTGGACTCAGTATTCACCTAAGCACTCCAAACTGTAAGTAACCCCAGAGCTCATGGAGTGTCCCACTGCCCCTCCATCTGGAGGCTGTGGCACCTCCCCCGAAGAGGAGGTGCTTGCATGCGTCCAGTGCCCTGCCCATTAGATTAGAGAGGGCTCCCTTCTTTGCTCTCTTGCACTCATTTGTCTGCCTTTTAGCTTTCCTTTTCTGCCCTGGACTCACACAGGGTCGCGTGAACGTGTGGTGTAGCAGGAGGAGACAGGTAAAGTGGAGGAATAGGAGCTGGAGGGGAGCAGAAGGGAAGAAAAGAGGAGGGGGAGGGGAAAGAGAGGGAGTGGGTGGAAGGAGGAGAAGGGGAGGAGGTGAAGGAGGAGAGGAGGACACAGAAAAGAGAAGAAAAAGGAGAGGAGGAGACAGGAGGAGGAGCAGCAAAGGAGGAAGAAGAGGAAGAGGACAAGAAGAGCAAGTAAGGAGGAGGAGGGGGGAGTGGGAGGAGTAGGAAGAGAGAAGGACCGAAGGAAAAGGAAAAGGATAGGCAGATGTGGAGGAGAGGAGGCAGAGGAGAGGAGGAGATGAGAAAGAGGAGGGAAAAGGAGAGGAGAGGGATGAGTGGGAAGGAGGAGGAAGAAGAACAGGAAAAGGAGAAAAGGAGGAGGAGAAGAGGAGGAGTGAGAAAAGAGGAGAAGGAGAGGAGGATGGGGGAGGACGGAGAGGAAGGGAGAAGGAGAGAAATAGGAGGAGGGAGGAAAGGAGGAGAGGTGTAGGAGGAAGAGGAGAGGAGGAGCAGAGGAGGAGGAGGAGAGGAAGAGGAGGAGATTTAGAGGAAGAGGAGAGATGGAGGAAGAAAGGAGGAGGCGGAGAAGAGGAGAAAGCAGAGAGGAGGAGGCAGAAGAAAGGAGGACCAGGAGGAGAGGAGGAGGAGGAAAGGACGAAGAGGAGGAATAGAATAAGAGGAGCAGAGGAAAAGGAGGAGGAGGTGGGGGAGGAGTGGAGAGGAGAGGAGGAGGAACAGAGTTGGAGGAGGTGGAAGAGAGAAGAGGAGAAGGAGGAGAGGAAGAGAGAAGGAAATGAGAAGGAGAAAAGTAGGAGGAAGAAGAGAGAAGAGGAGAGAGGAGAGGATGAGGAGGAGCGGAGGAGAAGGAGAGCAGGAGGGGGAGGAGGAGGAGAGTAAGAAGAGGAAATGAGGAAGAAAGAAGGACAGGAGATGGAGAGGAGGAAGAGAGTATTAGGAGGGGAGGAAGAGGGGAGGAGGGGGGGAAAAGGAAATGAGGAGGAGGAGGAGGCTGCAGCGCCCTTATCAGGCTCCAGTTCTCGGTGTGCCCCGTTCTGTAAGACACTCCGCTGTGGTCAACCCTGGCCTGCAGAGGATTCCCGCGCTGGATCTCTGAGGGATGCTGGCGCCCTCTCTCCAGCACATTCCTGATGCCCTTGCTGACGCATGTGTCCTCTGGGCCCTCTCCTGAAACATGATCCTCCAGGGTGTCTTCTGGCCTCACCTCTTCTGTCCAGTTCCAGCAAACTCACTTTGCTTAGCCTTTGAATCCCTTCCTTCACCATCTGCCATGACAATTCGGGCCTTTCACCGTCACTCAGGCCTGGACCATCACTGATGCCCATCCCATGCCATCCACAGGTTTGCCCCATCCCTTCGGCTCCCTACCAGGGCATTCAGTTGTGTTGAGCAGCAGAGTGTCTCCAAGTCCCTTGTGTAGTTTTCGTTTCCGGCCCCCACTGGTTGAGCTGCATCCGGGTCCCATCCCACAGGGACCCCCCGGCCGCTGCAGGTGCATGCTGATCCTGCAGCTCCTCAGGGGTGTCATGGCTTTCCCCCTTCCCAGACCCAGCACACCCTGCCTGCGCAGCTCTGTGCTGCACCTTCACTCTAGTCACGGGTGTGGCAGTCAGCTCACCAATTCCTCCTGCTTCCCTGGGACTCGCTGGCTTTTAGCACCGCAAGTCCCTCAGCAAACTGGGACTGTTGATCACCCTACCCGGCAGCCAGTGATAAGGTGAGGGCCGCTTCTGGGAGGGAGGACACCTGTGGGGAAAATGCTTGTGTTATTTATTTCTCCTTCGGGATAGGGTGCCTGCAATGCTTCATGGGAGGGGTGGGCTGATGCTGCAAGCTCAGAAGTTTCAAGGGCATCTAGGGAGACCAGATATTCAGAGACCTTCTCTTAGATGTGCGTGTTCCATGTATCAGGGATGCAGGTTTTCCCAGCAGGACTTGTGTCATTGGCATGACAGACCTGCCTTGGCTGAGCGTTCAACTGTCTTTGGAGTTCAGCCACCTTAGCAAGTCCTGGGTTTGTTCTTCAGACTTTGCTGCTTGCCCATTGCTTGGATCGGGGGCTACTTTGTAAACCACCAGGAAGACTCCAGTGTTTCTGCTTAATTTTTAGATGTTTGTTAATTGCCCTTGGCCTCTCATTAATCCCGGTGGGTCCTTCAGGAAACATACCGTTCCCTGAGTTTTCATTTCCAGGCATCTGCCCTGCCTGGATCTCCTCGCCTTCCAGGAACTTCCTCTTCACAAGCCGCGGCCATCCCAGCAAAAGTTCTAACATCGAAGGTCTAGCAGCTAGCCTGCCATCTTGTGCCTAGAGCCACCTGCGTGCCACCTACCCCCGAAGATGGGAACCTCGTTGCCAGCTGGGGAGATGCAGGGCAATCCTGTACCAAGACCCCATCTTACCACCTGTTTTCTCGGACCACTCTGGAACCCACTGTCTCAGATTGGGTCCTCCAGGAAGCAGACTGTGAGAGCGAGTTGGCAGGACCAAAGGTTTACTGGGGCTAACTAACCCTCAGGAAAGGGACAGGAAGGAAGCAGGGCTGGAGAGCAGGTTGAGCCCGACCTGACAGTCTTGAGCAGCCCAGCAGGGAGGTGTGGAGCAAGGGTTGCCCAGTAGAGGGGCCTGCATTGGGCATGGGTGGTGGGGTCCACATGGTACCTGGCACACAGCAGGCTGTGCAATCCATATTAACTGCCTAGATGAATTAATGCCCAGGAAAGGTGCCCTGGAGAACGGGTATGTGCTGAGCACAATAGGGAAGGGCCCAGCATCTGCCTTGGCATAGGCAGAACTGTGCTGTGCCCTGCAACAGGCCACCCGAGAGCTGCTTTCATCTTGTGTGTGCGTTAGACAACTGCCAGGGGCATGAAGGGGATGTGCTTCCAGGGCATTTGCTGGCAGGGTGTCTCGTGATCTCTTGGTATTGGTGTGAGCACAGCCTGGCAGGAGAGGGCAGATCTCAGTGCAAAGTATCATGTCAAAAAGCAGATCGAAGCCAGGCCCCCTCCTGGAAGAGGCTCCTTGAAGGTAGGTGCACACTCATGTCTTTGTTACTTGTAAGGGGGCATCTTACAGGCAAGAGGAGTTAGGTGAATGTGAAGAGGAAGGAACTGCTCACTCTGGGCAAGGGGCTGGGGGAGGCTTCGTAGAGGAGCGGGTGTTTGAGCTGGGCCTTGAAGGTCGAAAGGGTTTTGTTAGGTGGGAAATGGGGGAAGGACAGCCTGAAGGGGTTAGGTACCTTCAAGGAGCCCAGAGAAGGTTGGTGGCTGGAGCAGACCCATTCGTAGAGTGAAGTCGTGGGAGAAGAGGCTGGGAAACTAGATTGGGTCCAACTCCTAAAGGCCCACTGAAGGAGTATGGGTTGCACGCTGGGTGCAGCAGGTGAGTGTCCTCACTTGGGTTTCACTGTCAGCATTTTTAAAAGGCAAACTGGTTCTCTTCCTGAGGAAAATTCACTGATTCACTGATGTGGCCAGTAAGTCATCTGACAAACCTTTGTGTACTTCTGATGGGATAGGAGTGTTTGTAGACAACGGTCACACAAATATGCAGCCCAGTGCAGCTCAGGAGCAGCCTTCCATGGATAAGCCATTGGTACCTACAGTGTGCTCCTGTCCTTGCTAATCTGAACACATGGGTAGTAACCTTAAGCGTGTCTCAATCTTCTGACTTGTGATGAGGTTTCCAATTCTTGTTCCTGACTTTAGAATGAAGTTTGGAGAGATGTCATTAAGTCTCTAGGTTCTGAGGATTACTGTGGGGTGGGCAGAGGGAGAAAAGGGTGTTGGGGCCAGATGTTCCTGTGCTTCTACCAGAAAGTTGATTTGCCCAATGTACCACCCTCACTTGGCAGGCCTGAGCAGAGTGGCCTGCCACTCACAACCCAGAGAAAGAAGGTACAGTGCGGGCTTGCCCTGGCGGGCGCTTGGATGCCCTAAGCTGCAGCATCCACGCCAGGTGGGATTTGGTAGGGTAGGCCCCCCATCCACTGTGTCTGATCATACTGCCTTTGAAAGAGGAGGGTGGATGATGAAGACAAGACGATGAGATAGGGTGGCCTCAGCATGTTGCAGCACCCAACTGGAACGTTTGCAAATGATACTTGGAGAAAGCTTTAGGAAAGAGGCCCACTTCATTTATGAAATGACACTAGATAATGTTTGACCTTAGTCACATGTTCCTTGATTCCTCATTTTGCCCTCTGTTGGCTGACTCATGCAGCTTCAGTTTTAATTAAAGGTGGGCTGTGATGAGAGTCATGATCAGTGAGTGGCTTCCATAGCAGAAAGTTCTGTGTAGTTCTTGGGGGATGTGAGTTTAAGTATGAGGTGCTAAGACGAATATGTCCATACATTGTATTCTATTTCCTCTATCCTTTCCCTCCTCTAACCATTTCTGCCTTCTTCATCTTTCTAACTTTCCCAAGGCATTTTACATCAGATTTCAGATATAGAACAGTGGATGTTAGAACAAACCCAAATTCTTAATGCTTGTTACCATGAAAACATGGCAACACCATTCACATTTTCTTTACAAATGGCCTGTACGGGTCAGCCCAGGCATTGACTTAGGAGCCCATTGTTTGCATCCTCTAGGTCCTTGTAGTTCATATGCTGGAGCAATGTATAGAGGCGCACAGAAGGGCTGAGAATGTGGCCATGAGGTATGTAACAATGAGGCCCAGAGCCTGAGCTTTGGTGTCTAGCAAACCTAGGTTTGAATGTTAGCTCTTTGTGTTCCTGTGTGACCTTGTTGGTTACTCGTGTCTCTGTGTCTCCTTCTCTTACAAACCAGGAGGTACAAATGCCACTCATGTCACAGGGCTGTTGCTGGGACATACACTTGCACCTTGTGTTCTCTCTTTCTGGGACTCAGGTTCTCAAGATTTGCTTCTACATTTACAGGTTGGAGATTATTCCAGCAACGCTGAGGAAACTTTTCTTTTATTTTTTTTCTCAGCTTTGCAAATTTCAGAGATTTCCAACAGTGTTCGAGGGACTGTGATGTGCTCTTGCAAAAATCCCATATGTTTTTTGAAGAATCTCAGTTGTGCTATCTAGAAAATGAATCAGTTAATCTAGAACATGGTTTTCAAACCTATGTGGCCATGGAATATCATTTTGGAGGGACGCTTTCACAGGATGTAAGATTCTGAGTGAAAGCTTTTTTTTTTTTTTTTTTTTTTTTTTTTTTTGAGACAGTCTCTCGCTGTGTGGCCCAGGCTGTAGTGCAGTGGGGCAATCTCTGCTCACTGCAACCTTCGCCTCCTGGGTTCAAGCAATTATCCTGCCTCAGCCTTCCAAGTAGCTGGGATGCCATCATGCAAGGTGCATGCATGCCATTACGCATGGCTAATTTTTGTATTTTTAGTAGAGACAGGGTTTCGCCATGTTGGGCAGGCTGGTCTTGAACTTCTGACCTCAGGTGATCTGCCCACCTTGGCCTCCCGAAGTGCTGAGATTACAGGTGTGAGCCACCACACCCAGGTGAAAGCTATTTTCTTTAAGCCCTTGAAAAAAGTTGTGCCACTTCCTTTTGGTATCCTTGGTTTGGTAAGGTATCATTTTTCTCACATTGCTTCCAAGTTTTTCTTGTTTTTTTTTTTTTTTTTAAATTATTATTATTATTTTAAAGACAGGGTTTTACTTCATTGTCCAGGCTGCAGAGCAGCATTGCAGTCATAACTCACTGTAACCTTGAACTTTTGGGCTCAAGCAATCCTCCTGCCTCAACCTCGCAGGTAGCTAGGACTACAGATATGAGCTGTCATGCCCAGTTAAGTTTTTTTTGTTTTTATTTAAGAGTTCTCAGAAGTTTAACTCAAGTGTTTTAGTGTAGAATTTCTTTGGATTTATTCTCTTTGGGATTTGTTCAGCTTCTGAAGTCTGCAGGGTTATGTCTTTTGTCAAATTTGGGAAATTTTCAGCCGTTACTTCTTTGATTTTTCATCCCCACACTTTTTCTCATTTCCTCTGGGACCCTTATGACACAGATGTGAGATCATTGTTCGTAGTCCCACAGGTACCTAAAGCTCTGTCCATCTTGTTTTCCCATGTATTTTCTATTCGTTTTTCGGAATGGGAAATTTCTGTTCTGTCTTCAAGTTCACTGGTTCTTTCCTCTGTTCTTTCTATTCTGCCAGTGATTCCTTTATAGAGTTTTTAAAATTTCAGTTATGGTATTTTTCAGTTCTAAAATTTCCATTTGATTCCTCATTATGTCTTCTATTTATTTTTTGGCTGAGACTTTCTATTTTTAGTTTGTTTCAGATGCGTTCTTAATTGCTTAATGAAGCATTTATATAATGGTGGTTTTCAATTTTTTTTTACAGATAATTCTAACATCTTTGTCATCAGTGTTGACATCTCTTGATTGTATCCTGTCATTCCATTTGAGATCATCCTGGTTCTGGGTATGATGTGTGACTTTTGATTGAAATCTAGAGATTTTCATATTATGTTACTAGGTTTAAAGTGTTATTTAAACTTTGTTTTAGCTGGCATCCTCTGACATCACTCCAGCAGAAGAAAGGGAAGGATCATGCTGCATTACTGCCTGGTGAGTGCAGTAGTCTACCTTCCCCACATGGCCTCCATTGATTCCTGAAATGGGTGGGGGTACTCCTTGTTTCTGCTGGGCAGGAGTGGACTTTTTGGATCTGATCTGGGGCTGCACTGATACCTTTGTGGCTGGGAGGGTTTGATATTTTTCAGCACTGTATTCAGTATCACCTGCACAGACACCTTAGGGGATGGGGACTTGCTATTGCCTGGCAGGGATGAAAATGCCAGCTCCCTGATTGGCCACCTCCAACAGCACCAAGGTAGACAGGAGGGATGTTACAGCTTAGCAAGCATGTTACACTGAACCCCCTAGTTGACCTTTGCTGGCATGTGTGGAAGTGGGGATCAAACTATATTTCTGTGGTATTTAACTAGAGTAAAGCAGCTTACTGTCTAAAAGTTTTCTATCTTGGTAAGTTACAACTTTCTTGGTCCTCTGGCTTTGGTTCTTCTTTCCTCCCTCCCTTACTGTCCACCTTTCCTCCCTCTTTTCCTTCATTCCTTCTTTCTTCTTTCCTCTGTGTTTGTTGACATTTCTGGATCCTAGCTCCTTCAGCTCCATGTCTGGTGTATATGGGCAAAGAAAAAGAGAGAGAGAGAGAGAGAAAGGGAGGAAGGGAGGAAGGGGAAAGGAGAGGAGAGGGAAAGAAAGAGGGTGGAGAGAGAGGGAGGGAGGAAGGGGAAAGGAGAGGATAGGGAAAGAGAAAGGAGAGAGAGAGGGAGAGAGAGAGGGAGGAAGGGAGGGAAGGGGAAAGAGAGGGAAAGAAACAAAAAGAGAGGGGAAGGGAGGAATGGGAAAGAAGAGGAGAGGGAAAGAAAGAAAGACACACACCAGAGAACTAATTAACTCCATTGTTCCTCAGGTCACAAGGTCCCTATCTGATCTGCCTTCACTCCACCTTTCAGAGTCTTATGTTTGTTTTGTGTATATTATCAAGGGGTTTTAGGTCACTTAGTTGGAAGAATAGGGAAAAGTATATCTACTCTAGTTTTGTGGAAGTGGAATTCTTCTGAGAACCTCTTTTTTGATACAAAATATGTACTTGTGCATATTTTGTATCAAAATATATAATGTACATGTCCATTTTGTACATGTATATAAATTGTATATAAGTATTTAGGGTGCCGGGCGCGGTGGCTCACGCCTGTAATCCCAGCACTTTGGGAGGCCGAGGCGGGCGGATCACAAGGTCAGGAGATCGAGACCACGGTGAAACCCCGTCTCTACTAAAAATACAAAAAATTAGCCGGGCGCGGTTGTGGGCGCCTGTAGCCCCAGCTACTCGGGAGGCTGAGGCAGGAGAATGGCGTGAACCCGGGAGGCGGAGCTTGCAGTGAGCCGAGATCGCGCCATTGCACTCCAGCCTGGGCGACAGAGCGAGACTCCGTCTCAAAAAAAAAAAAAAAAAAAAAAAAAAGTATTTAGGGTTATAAAAATAACCAAAGACACCAAAAACTGCCACAGGTGGATTTGAGAAGACGTTGAAATGCCTCCCCTGCTAAGACACGCTCCTCCTTGACAGAGTGGGAACCCTGAAAGCTGTAGTGTCACCACTGCCCTGTCCTGTACCTACCTATCTTTTGACTCATTTCCTCCAAGCTCAGGTTTTCAGTTTTGGGTGTGTGCCACCTAAAACTGAGCTGTGGAACTGCAGCACAATCATCAAATTCAAAAAAGGCAAGGACATCTGGCTCAGATTTTAAGATACACCATAGATGGAGTAAACTAAAACCTTTGATTCCAGATCCTTAACCCCGATTAAAAACAACACAACCCTTCATGCCTATTTAAAACGTCCCTTGCAAAAGATGGTTTGAATATTCCAAGTTGGAAATACCCAGCCTTTTTAAGTTACAGCACCCTTTTGGATACAAAAAATGGGCATGACAGAAATTGTATAGTGAGTAGTGTTATAAAAATAACCAAACACACCAAAAGCTGCCACGGGTAAATTTGAGAAAGTGCTGAAATACACCACACAGCGTGAGACCTTGCTGGCTCTGTCTAACAGATGACGCTGGGGCTGCAAATGGTGTCCCAGCCTTCCAGCGTCTGTGGTCTCCAGAACAGGGCTGAAACCTGTTCTGCGCTGACACTGCTCTCCTAAGAAGACCCCAAGTTGAGAGGAGCCTCTTACCCACTCATCTATAATCAAAGCAGACTTGATGCCCATCAGAGTTGCCCAGTGATTCTGGTGAGCCCTTCCTCCCTCTGGCTGTGAGTACTGGGGAGCATGGTGGGGACTTTCAGATAGCTCGGTGGAGCGCAGAAAGAGAGGGAGTTCCCCCTGACTCCTGCCCCAGTCGGTCAGCCCCGTGGGCCGAGGGGTAGCCCCACTGCTCAACCTCTCCACTCTCTTGGGGAGGACGAGGCAGCCTTGACCCACGAGGGCTGATGAATGGGTCGGTTATCGGCAGGCTCCTAGGCCACCAGCTTGGAGATCACGTTGTCCCTTTTAGATTCAGTGTGGCGGGAATCTAAAAGGTTGAGGATGGAGAAGCCTGCAGGATGGCAAAGTGAGGGACCCCGGCAGTGGGACCTCAGGAATCCACCCCTGAAACTCTGACTGGGGTGCCCGTGGAGGCCCTGAAGGTACAGCAGTCAGGCGCTCTGTGGCATTCTGAATACTGGCACGCAGCCTTCGGCCTCTGCCAGCTTTTGTGAGCTGCCCTGCACCAGGCAGAGGTGGCCCCCAGGCCTGGCACAGGGTCTGACACATGGCACATGCTATAGAAATAACTGTGGACTGCCTGACTGCAAGATCTCATTGAACATCTGGAACATCTGGCCTCAGCCTGTGCTGCTGCAGCCAGGAGCAAATACGGGGAAGTCTGGCTAAGGAGAACGCATGCCTGTGTGGGCCCCAAGGATCCATCCTGAGATCAGGAGGAACAAAAACCCAATGACCTTGACAGGCCCCTCAGGCAGCCTGTTAAATCCCACGTTCTCATGCCCAGAGGTTTTTGGCTCCTGCCCCAGAGGCCCAAGATGAGGACCTGGCAGCACAGGGAGGCTAAGGGAATGATGAGCTCAAGGAGAGGTGGCCAGACCACCTGAGACACCTGTTGAAGTGCACTTTCCCATGTCCAGAACTGCGAGCTCCTGAGACAAGGTGCAGAAACCAGATTACACTTATCTTTCTGACCTAATTCACAGAATGGGCAGCAGCCCCCGCCTAACCACTGCCCCCTCACTGAGCAACAAGTTAGCAACAGCAATGCTGGCCACATGGGAGGCCCTCAGGTGTCCTCAACCCACCCCTAGGTTTACTGACAGGTACCCTGCAGGGAGGAGGGTGGGTCCCCGAGCTGGACTTCACCCAACATTGCCACCTCCTCAACCCGTGTCCTGCCTACCACCCCAGGAGCTGAAGGACCCAACGGCACACCCTCAGTGGTTTCTGAAAGGTAGCAAAGCTCTTTCTACCCTTTTCCACTTTGGGTGAGAACATGTAGCTGGGTTGACAAGTTGGTTTTTCAGAAAGGAAGCACTGAATAGTGAGGCACTCGCCCAGCCAGAAGAGCGATCTGCAAAGACAGCCCCATCCCCAGGACGGGATTGCTGGATTCAGATACCACAACCCAAGAGAACCCAGACTCTGAACATGGAGCAGTACCAGGGTGAAAGACTTTTCCCACCGACATGGTCACATAGCCATTCTCCTTGAAGTACTGGGGGATGGTGGAGAAGTTTCCAGCGTGCACCCTCCAGTAGGAGTTGAAGTCGTACAGGCGGGTGGTGTCAGGTCTCCTGCCAGTGAGGAAAGAAACGCGGCTCGGGGCGCACACTGCTTGCTGTTAGGGAGCAGAAGCAGAGGTAAATGTCCTCACAGCAAAATGTGCCTTCCATCTCATAGGTATCCAAGCAACCTCCCTCCTGAGGCCCCTAGCAAACAGCTTGGTAGCTGAGTCATGCAGAGCTCAAACCAGACACTGGGATTTGGGCATCACCTAGGCAACAGACAGCTTCCCGGAGAGAGAAAGGGAAGCAATCAGCCTCTGAAATCAGCAGATGCTTATCTCCTCCTACGCAATGGCCTCCCCAGGCACGCAGACCTGCCAGTGTTGCTGGGGGCAGAGCCATGAGGGGTTCAGGGAACAGAGCCACCCTGACTAGCTCTTACCTGAGGCCCAGTCTGCAGACCTGTGGGTGCCCTTCTGCAGTACCCCTTCCTTCTGAGCAGCAGGCAAGCCCCCGTTCTGGGAGAAAGCTGCCCAGGGCTGCCGTGAGCACATTAGGTCCAGGGCAGACCTTCCACCCAAGGAGAAGGCCACCCTTGAAGGTCAAGCTTTCCCATCAGTGGAAAGCCAGATTTTCTCCACTACCATTTTCTAGACTGCTTCCTCCTGACAAGATGTCCCGCACAATCTGCGCCATCTGACAATAGCTGAAGCTCCCCGCCCCCAACCCTCAGTACCCGAGGAGGCACACACCCACAGCTAGAGGTTCCCAGACACACCTGCGCAAAGGCATTCTGGAAGAGGAGGCCCTGGGATGCCAGTTGGTCAGTGTTTGGGGCCTTCACTAGTTCATCCCTGCAACTTGAAAGGGTAAGACGTGTTCTAGAAAATAACACCTGTGGCCAGGCGCAGTGGCTCATGCCTGTAATCCCAACACTTTGGGAGGCCAAGGCAGGTGGATCACTCGAGGTCAGGAGTTCGAGACCAGCCTGATCAACACGGAGAAACCCCATCGCTACTAAAAATACAAAAGTAGCTGGGCGTGGTGGTGCATGCCTGTAATCCCAGCTATTCAGGAGGCTGAGGCAGGAGAATCGCTTGAATCCGGGAGGTGGAGGTTGCAGTGAGCTGGGATTGCGCCATTGCAAATGAGTGAAAAACCCCATCTCAAAAAAACAAAAACAAAAACAAACACTTGTAAGAGAGTGAGGGAAGTAGAATTGAGTCAGTCCCTCAGGGAGCTCTATGGTTGGGAAGATTCTATTGAGATGTTGCAAGTAGAGGCTGGAGTCCAGGTGTTGGTACTCTCCACCCTTCATTGACCCCTTGACTGATATTTGGAGAGAGAGTTATGTGCCATCATCACGCAACACCTTTGTCAGGCAGGGGAATGATTATCTCCGCCATCAGGCTGGGCTGTGGAACAACCACAGCATCGACCACAGCCCATGTCTTGCAGGCCTCAGATGGGCTTGCTTCACACAGGATGCTCCCCTCATTTGGGAATAACTTCTCCAGGATTTGGCTTGGCCCTTTTCCTGGGGAGTTGAACATGAGGCAGGGTAGTGGGATGGTGTATGGCCCGCATGACTGCAACTGGCTTTGAAGCCACAACTGATGCTCATGGTCTTCCTCGTCTATCCAATCTAGAGTGCTCTCAGTCTCAGCCACCATGTCTGCTGTTCTCAGTGACCTACCTGGTCGAGTAACAGACCTTTATCCCTGAGGATTGGTTCTGAACCCATGGTCCCCATGACCTTCTCAGACTGTGGGAATTGCATGTGTCCATTTACCATAAAAATTGGGCAAAGAATTATTAGGAGACATTCAAATGGATCACCTGGGTGCCAGATATATCCTTCTCTGTTCACAGTGTGTAAGAACAACCCTGCCTCCTCATCATGATCAGAGCCAATACCCCTGACAGAATGGCTACTCTTCTTTACACCTGCTTAGTCCCATAGCCATAGCAGGATGAATGAACCCAAGGTTCCCATGACTTGTAATTCAGTTATCAGCCATGGCTCATAATTCAGTGGGACTCCTACTGTGTGTACTGGTGGAAGCATTCCCATTTGAGTAGCCAGGATCCACTGTTCAATTAGGTAGCCACTGGCTGCATGTGCCTACTGAGTACTTGAAATGTACCTGGTGTATCTGAGGAACTGAATTTTAATTATCTAAAATTCAGATAAAATAACTAATTTTATCTTAATTTAAATTTAAATAGATGAATTTTGCTAGTGGTGACTGTATTGGGACGGGAAGCACAAATTCCCATGTGGATCACTAGGAGAAATAATAAGTGAGGTCATTCCACTGCTTGGTCCCCTGCTTCCAGACCCAAAGAGGCCTACATGGCATCGTGCTTCCTTCTTAGTGGTAGGAGGTGTGAGATACAGTCATTTGCCTCTGACTTTGGAGGGGTGGTCCTAGCATGCCCCTGATCAGTAGCCCCTTAAATACTTCGTTGATATGGCAGGGCTCTGAATCTTTATAGGCTTAAGCTACCACTCTCTGAAGTGCTTATGTCTTTCAAAGGCCTCTAAAATCCCTGCCTTGTCTTGCTCATCCAGTTGTTAGCATGATGTCATTGATACAGTGGACTTTAGAACCTAAGTGGGCAGACACTGGTAAGTGACCAATGACTTCACCTGTGGTGTGCAAGCCAGATCAGGAAGCCTCTACCATCACTTTGATGTACTGGGAAAGCTATTTTTAGTGTGTAGACTTCATGCCAGATTTGCCCAGATCAGGGGTTGGATGCCCAGAGCTCCTGGTTGTTGGAAGTGCTCTACCTTGAGTACAGAAATCCACACCAACTCACTCCCTTCTCCAAGGGGACCCTCACCCTGAGAAATTTAACTGGACCTTGCTAACATGCCGGGAGAACGTCCCTGAGAAAAAGAGCAGTGAAGGTGCACGTGAATTTCCTGTTGCATACCCACAGTGGGCCAGAAACAAGACCATTGGATTTTTACCTCGTACTTTTGATGTTTGGCAGTCATTGATTCTAGTTTGGGGGTGAAAGAGATGACACATGTATTGGAACCTTCCTTGGGGACTGCTAGTCTTAGGGACAAACTGCCAAAATCAAGGTAGGCAGTGGTGGTCAGAGCTATGGGATGGAAAGCGAGGGATAGGACATATAAACTGACAGCTGGAGGCCCAGACACTGCCCATGTTAGCATGGTTGGGGACAAAATAAGGTGGAACAAGAGTGGGTGGAACAGAGAACAGAGTGGGTGGAACAGGAGCAGTTCAGGGACTCCGCAGAAATAACCTATGGCTCCTCAGAGAGCTTACAGGGGAAGCTTTCCTTGAGTACCCAGATGTCAAAGAGATTGGCAGAGGCAGGAAGGATATGTTCCCAAGCAAAAAGTAACAGCAGCTAACTTTGATTTCATGGAAGGTGCGAGTCCAGCTGTGAGTCAGAATAGGGAGACAGGCAGTGAACAGAGGACAGAATGATGACCTGCAGTGCTGAGAAACGGGCCTATGTATGACTTGGTCCTCAGTCCCTGACCCAGGGGAACACCAAGGATGCCGTGGGGTGCAGGGAGGGCCAGAAGAGCTAAGTACTCAATTTCTGCAAAAAGGCCCGTGCCCCAGGACAGGCCTGGGAGAAGACATACAGATGATCCCTACCCCTAGTCCTCCAACAAACACATCTGCCTCAAAACTGACATATTCTCAGCTGGTGGAAGCATCCAGGAAAGATAACACATGGCTCCATGTGCAGCTGTGGTGCCTGTGGGGCACTGGGGATTATACCACCAAACAGAGCTTGAACAGTGTCCCCAGCTCCTGTTCTTTTTAAAACTGTGTTAAAATATATATCATATAAAAGTTACCATGTTAAACATTTTTAAGTGTCCAGTTCGGTGGCATTCAGTGCCTTCACATCATTGTACAATCATTGCCCCACTAGCCTCTATTCTTTTTAAAAACTTTAAACTTTTATTAATATTTTAGATTTAGGGGGTACATGTGTGGGTTTGTTATAAGGGTGTATTGCATGATGCTGAGGTTTGGGGTTGGATTGAACCTGTCACCCAGGTAGTGAGCATAGTACCTAATAGGTAGTTTTTTAACCCACATCCTCCCTCCCTCTCCTCTCTTGCGGTTCCCAGTATCTGTTGTTCCCGTCTTTATGTCCATGTGTACCCAATGTTTAGCTCCCACTTACAAGCAAGAACATGTGGTATCTGATCCTGTGTTAATTTGCTTAGGATAACGGCCTCCAGCTCTATCTGTGTTGCTGCAAAGGACATGATATCATCTTTTTATGACTGTGAAGTACTGGTGATACAGATGCGCCACATTTTCTTTATCCGGTACACCAGTGATGGAACCTTAGGTTGATTCCATGTCTTTGCTATTGTGAATAGTGCTACAATGAACATACCAGTGCATGGTCTTTTTGGTAGAACCATTTATTTTCTTTGGGATATATATCCAATAATGGGATTGCTGAGTTAAATGGTAGTTCTGTTTTAAGTTCTTTGAGAAATCTCCAAACTGCTTTTCACAGTGGCTGAACTAATTTACACTCCCACCAACAGTGTATAAGTGTTTTCTTTTCTCCACAGCATGACCAGCATCTGCTGTTTTTTGACTTTTAAATAATAGCCATTCTGACTGGTGTGAGATGGTATCTCATTGTGGTTTTGATCTGCATTTCTCTGATGTGATGTTGAGCATTTTATCATGTTTGTTGGCTGCTTGTATGTCGTCTTTTGAGAAGCATCTGTTCATGTCCTTTGCCTGGTTTTTAATGGGGTTATTTGTTTTTAGCTTGTGGATTTAAGTTCCTTATAGATTCAGCATATTAGACATTTGTGGATGCATAGTTTGTAAGTATTTTCTCTTGTTCTGTAGGTTGTCTGTTTACTCTGTTGATAGTTTCTTTTGCTGTGCAGAAACTCTTCAGTTTAACTAGGTCCCACTTGTCAATTTTTGTTTGTGTTGCAATTGCTTTTGAGGACTTAGTCATGAATTATCTGCCAAGGCCGATGTCTAGAATTTTCTTCTAGGATTTTTGTAGTTTTAGGTGTTACACTTAAATATTTAATCCATCTTTTTGTATATGGTGATAGGTAAGGATCCCGTTTCATTTTTCTGCATATGGTTAACCAGCTTTCCCAGAACCATTTATTGAATAGTAATTCCTTTCTCTATTGCATATTTTTGTTGACTTTGTCGAAGACTTTGTTGTAGGTGTGCTTCATTGTTCCTGGGCTCTCTATTCTGTTCCATTGGTGTGTGTATCTGTTTTTGTACTAGTACTATGCTGTTTTGGTTACTGACGCCTTGTAGTATAGCCTGAAGTTGGATAATGTGTTGATTCTGGCTTTATTCTTTTTACTTCGGATTCTTTTGGCTATTTGGACTTTTTTTTTTTTTTGGTTCCATACGAATTTTAGGCTAGTTTTATCTAATTCTGTGAAAAATGATATTGGCATTTTGATAGAAATAATTTTGAATCTGTAGATTGTGGATATATGCACATTTTAATAATACTGATTCTTCCAATCTATGAGCATGAAATGATTTTTCATTTGTTTAAGTCATCTATAGTTTCTTTCAGCTCTGTTTTGGAGTTCTCTTGGAGAGATCTTTCACCTCCTTGGTTAGATGTGTTCCTAGGTATTTTAATTTTTTGTGGCTATTATAAATGAGATTGTGTTCATGATTTGGCTCCCAGCTTGAACATTTTTGGTGTATAAAAATGCTACTGATTTTTGTATGTTGATTTTGTATGCTGAAACTTTACTGAAATCACTTTCAGTTCTAGGTGCCTTTTGGCTGAGTCTAGGCATAGAATCATCAACAAAGAGAGACAATGTGATTTCTTTTCCTTTTTTTTTTTTTTGTTTTGTTTTTTTGTTTTTGAGATGGAGTCTCGCTCTGTCGCCCA